TCTGCCATCAGAGATCTGGAGTGGGTGCCCCCCTGACCGTTTATATATGCCTTTGTTGCCACATTGTTGGTGAGACTCCATTCTCGACAACTGCAATGGCTCCTCCTACCTCATCAGAGGTCCAAAGCCAGCAACTCGTTGTCCCGGATACCAGTGCCTCAAAGGGTTCGGAACTATCTTTGATTGTGGCAGTCACCAGCCATGTCAAAGGGCAGCTTCTTCAAAGAACCAGATCACCTCATCATCACGACCGACGCCAGGTTTTTATTCAGGTTCCACTCACTCACTGTTCAGTTGGTGAGCTCACCTGCACAACAAGGTAGCACAGGACAGGTGGTTCCTGGAGGACTTGATACATAGTATCAACTGGCTAGAGCTGAAGGTAGCGTGTCTCGCCCTTCTACACTTCAGTCAGAACATTCGAAGTCACCATGTCAGGATTCTCACCAACAATGTGGCAACAAAGGCATATATAAACGGTCAGGGGGGCACCCACTCCAGATCTCTGATGGCAGAGGCCCTGGCCCTGAAAGCCAACATTCCCTCACGGTGATTTGCTGGCTGGGAGGAAAGCATGGCAAGCAGAAAACAGCCAGAGAAGAAAAGCGCGCGAAATATCTTCCAAAATGGCGCTTTTTGGAAGATGAGGAAGCTATCAGGTGCAAACTGTCAGAACCAGAGGCATGGCTACAGATTTCCAATTCAGTCCTGGGCACTTAGGCAGAATTTAACCTATGCTTGGACTCTCCCGCAGCAAACAGAGAAGACAGTTCAGGTAAGCCAACTTATTTTTAGAAGCCACAGCTATTATTTTGAGTCATATTTCTTAAGTGTTTCTGCAAAGCCATGGAAATAATGCAAAAGTAATAGTTTGTAAAAATGAGGAGACATTGGAGACTTTAGATCAAAAATAAGCAGTCTAAAACTGTACATGTATTGGATAACTCCCATCTTTGCTCACATTAAAGCTGACAAATATTGTTGTCTTAACCATTCAATCATGTCTGACTCTGAGTGACTTTATAGGTAAATTCTTCATGCTACTGTGTCAAGCACAGCTTCTTTCAGTTATGATAGACATTAGGGGTCCAGCATTGTACCTATTCCCACTCTAAGTCACGGTAAATTGCACCAAAAAAAACAAGGTATACAGTACAAGCGAAATTGGGTACAGATTGATCTTTCAATACATATTATCCCTGCCTATATAATGATGCATCAAGCAGAGTAGTATACTGGTCAACTATTACGGTCTGTCAAATGCACAATTATTTCTTTGTTTCACAGTCCCAGTTGAACAATAAACATTTCATTGAGTATCTTATGGGATTCTTAAGCAACAATATGTAATTGCATAACAGCTACTTTTCCAGTTGCCACTAAAATTTTAATAGTAAATTTGCACTCTTGTTGACAGCAGTTCTTGTGAGAATTCACAAATCAGTAGTTCAGTAATAAGCAAGTGATACTCATGGCTTTTAGCCCTCCATTCCAGACTATAGAAGAAGGTGCCATTAATTTATCATAGCAGTTACTGTGCACTCAGAGAGTATTCAGACCCCCTTCACTTTTGTCAATTTTGTTATGCTGCAGCCTGATTCTACAGTTGTTAATATTCGGGGGTTTTTCTCATTAATCTACATTCATTATCCCATAATGACAAAGTGAAAACAGAATTGTCTATAAATTTATTAAAAAGAAAAAACTAAAACATCTCATAGGCATAAGGATTCAGATCCTTTCCAACAACATGTGAAATTCAGCTCTGGTGCCATCTATTTCTCTTGATCGTTGCTGACATGTTTCTATCTACAACTTGAATGGAATCAACCTGTGGTAAATAAAATTGATTGGACATGATTTGGAAAGGCACGCACCTCTCTATAGAAGGCGTCACAGCTGTAGCAAAGCAAAAGGCATGAGGTTAAAAAAACTGCCTGTAGAGTTCAGAGACAGGATTACTGCAAAGCACAGATCTGGAGAAAACTATAATAAAATTTCTGCTGCGCTTCAGGTTCCTAAGAGCACAGTGGCCTCCATAATTCTCAAATGAAAGACATTTGGCGCAATCAGGATTCTTCCAAGAGCTGGTCGTCCAGTCAAACTGAGCAATCAGGGGAGAAGGGTCTTAGAAAAAGACATGACTAAGAACCCAATGGTCACTCTGACTGAGCTTCAGAGATCCTGTGTGGAGATGGGACAGAATTCCAGAAGGACAACCATCACTACAGCCCTCGACAATCTGGGCTTTAAGACAGTGACCAGATAGAAGCCTCTCTTCAGTGCAAAACACATGAAAGCACATTTGTGTTTGCAAAAAAGTACCTGAAGGACAGTCAGATTGTGAGAAACAAACGCTAAGTGGGCTTTCATGTGTTTTGCACTGAGGAGAGGCTTCTATTTGGTCACTCTGCCATAAAGTCCAGATCGGTGGAGGTCTGCAGTGATGGTTGAGCTTCTGGAATTCTGTCCCATGTCTACACAGGATACCTGGAGTTCAGTCAGAGTGACCACGGGGTTCTTGGTCACCTCTCTTACAGTTCAACAACTGTAGAATCAGGCTGCAGCATAAAATTGAGAAAAGTGAAGGGGGTCTGAATACTTTCTGAATGCACTGTATTTTCAGACCTCTACTCCTGACAGTGAAGGAGGATATAAATTGACATGAACATATGGAAAAGGTGTTTTTAGGTGTTCTTGACAATTAGTGCTACTTTGTAGTTCTAGAAGAAAGTAAGACTGTTAATTTTATCAAAAACAAATATATCATGCATCAGTCCCAAGAAATTAGTCATTGTATAAGCATATGTATGTAACATTTTTCACCATCCAACTTCTGAAAAACAGTATTGGACTGAGCAATAAATTCTTTCATAAGAGCATGTGTATTCTGAAAAGAGGCAATGAGTTGAAATCAACTACTGTGGTTCACATTTCAAATGTTAGTATCCATACTGATTCTGAGCTTATCATCTTAATTCTTGTCTTTGGGGAAAATATTTTCTTGAACATTGTTTGCATCTTTTTTTTAGATTTAAGACTTTTAATTCTGAAGAGTTGAGCATAGGGTTTAAAAAATAAAATAAAAAGAATCCTTCTGTTTTTTTAAAAAAAAAACAACTATAAATGTTATCTTTTTTTCACTGTTTCTCAAAAATACACAGCCTAAACTCTCTAATCAAAGTTGTAGCTTTTGTTTCCATTATAAATGAAGGTTTATATTTAGCCTTATGTTTTCTTCATAAATGAAATGGATATTAGAAGTATTTTTATTAAAGTGGAAATATATTTTTGTGTTATAGATGTATTAAGTGATAATTCATTATCACTTAATGGGTTCAGCAGGGTCCAAGAAGAAAAATACAAGTCTGCTGTGTATATTTGCTTTTTGATCACACACTGCTGAGTATCACTAGTAACCTTTAGGTACAATAAAGTCTGCTCTAGTTTACTGAGAATATAAATATTTTGCATCTGCTTAGATCAGTGGTTCTCAACCTGTGGGTCGGGACCCCTTTGGGGGTTGAACAACCCTTTCACAGGAGTCGCCTAAGACCATCGGAAAACACATATTTTTGATGGTCTTAGGAACTGAGACACCAATTTTATGGTTGGGAGTTAGCCGCTCCAAGTCTCTCGGGAATAGGGCGGCATACAAATTGAATAAACATCAAACACAACATGAGGAACTGTATTAAAGGGTCGCGGCATTGGGAAGGTTGAGAACCACTGGCTTAGATGGTATTTTGTCTATAAACTTTTTTTTAAAAAATCTACATGTTTTCTACCATTGATATAGAGATCATATATTTTTAGGCTGAAAAGCAAACTAAAAATGTATTTATTTATTTATTTAAACAAGCTGCAGAGAAAGCCCGGTAGCCCTTTTAAAGCGACAGAAGCCTCAATGGAGGCAAATTTGACAGTTCTTACAGTAGATGTAATTTTCTCTATCTGAGAATCCAAACGTGGTCCAAAGTGGGAAACTTTCCAGCCTATCTGACCTTAGACTGGAGCTCTCCCAAAACAGTCCTAACGGGCGGACTGAGTTTTCGAACTGAGCATGCAGAGGCAAAGGGAGGCGTGGTCAACTAAAAACATAACCAAGCCAAAGGCAAAAAAGCCGGGGTAAACCAACAATTGGACTCTCCGAGCAGTGCACTGGAGAACACAATTATTATCCAAATTATTACCATATCTTTATTTCCAGAGTTCTTGTTTGAATTTTGCTTCATATGTGTGTTTTGTGCTTATGTCCAAAATAATAATTGCAGTGGCTTGGCCGTTATCAAAACAAACTAATAAAAATAAAACAACTTACCTACTATCCCAAAAGCAGAGACAGCACGTAATAATCCAGATGAGCCCTTTTGTCCAATTTTTGTCCTATTGCCCAGATCTAAACGGCCTAGTAGCTCTCTCACTTCTTGCTGGGTATATATATGCTTGAAAATGAAAATGTAGTCATTTAAGTATTTCTGACTGTATTAAAAAACTTTCAATTACAACGTCTACAAAACAGTTTCAGTCACCTTCCTAGGGCAGAAGTACCTATTTTGCATGAGCTCAAGGACAGCATAAACTTTGTTTGATATGATTCGCTAATGAAGGCATAACAATACTGAGAATCTTTCTAGTACAGGTAGTCTTCGAATTACAACTTCAAAGTTACAATGACACTGAAAAATGTGGCATGACCATTTTTCACAGGTGCGTCTTTTGCAGGATCCCTATGTGAACATGTGATCAAAATTCATATGCTTGGGAACTGGTTCATGTTTATGACCATTGCTGTGTCCCAAGGTCATGTGATCACCATTTGTGACCTTCTGACAAGCAAAGTCGGTAAGAAAGCCAGATTCAATTAAGGTCATAAAATGGGGCAAAACTCATTTAACAAATCTCTCACTTAACAGAAATTTTGGGTTCAACTGTGGTCGTAAATGGAGTACTACCTGTATTATATGTAGACAGGTTATAATCGCAATAGCACTTAGACATATATACCACTTCACAGTGCTTTACAGCCCTCTCTGAGCAGTTTACAGAGTCAGCTTATTGCCTCCAACAATCTGGCTCCTCATTTTACTGACCTCGGAAGGATGGAAGGCTGAGTTAACCTTGAGCCGGTTTTCCATCATGTTTGTAGATACCCAACAATTCTTGTCTCATAGCATTTTTATACATTTTATTTTTTTTAAGTAATATTTTAATGGGATGTTCCTATACTTAAAATCAAAAGTACCAGTTTATATCATTATCTTTTTTTCAAAGAATCTCTCTGACCCCAAGTGGGATTGATAAGTATTGGTAAAAAAAGTAAAATGGAAGGGCCAATACTCGGTGATTTATCTGAAACACTGATTTGACAGAAAAGAGATAAAGGGATGCAGGGATGTCAGACAACATCCTGAGAAGTAGGCTAGTGCAAGTGATGGGGATTTGGAAAAACCAATACTCTATGGTTAATTATTTTGCCCGTAGTGACTACTTTATGAATGAGCAAAGTATTTCATCACATGTCAGACATTTTCTGAGAATATCTATGACTCTCAAAATTTCAAATACATACAAAAATATATGCATGTTTAATTACCATTAACAGTTTAAGGATTATTTTATTAGAATCTTCTTACTACTTTCTCCCGTTTCTATTTTGCTCCTTTGTCTTATAATGTTCACCACATATATATTTAGTCCCAAGCACAAATACATGGAATATTGGGGGGGGGGAGGGGGAGAAAAATTAACAAAAGGAAGAAGCATTCCTTTTTAGCATATATCTTTGGAGAGGAAATCTAGAATTTTATCTTTAGAGTAAAGTAAAGAAAAATGCTGCCTAAAATTCAAAATGTGTTATATTTCCTCCCAAAGTTCCAAATGCCCCCACAAACACCTTTGTCATATTCTTTGGGGGAGTAAATTATTAAGAACAACTGGGAGTTTATTGTGAATAATACAACTCAGGTAAAATTAACTCAAAATCAAGGTTCTTACACCCAAAATCTAAGAAAAATAAGAATCCCTTCCACCATAAATACTGGTTTGTTATTATTACATAGAATATGAAATTCATGAATTTCCCAGAATAAACCTCAGAAGTTCCAATTTTCCTTTTAGAGTCAAAAAATGAATCTAAGACATGGTTTCTAATTGAGCTTTATCCAAAGATGTCCTTCCTTCACCTGAAGGAGCTCTTTCAATAAACCCTGTCAGGGAAGTTAATGTCATAATTCTTTTTATTCAGAAATTGTTCTTCCTTAGAACCAAGCCTTCTCTCCAAGCAATTTATTTACTGTTGCTCAACCCATTGATTAGGAAACTATGTAAAACAAAACAGTGTTATGAAAATAAATAATAAAAAGAAAGAAAATACTGAGAATTTAAATGTAGCTTAAATCCAATATAGTGTTATATTGGATTCTTATATTTTCTTTTGAATAGCAACATCTCAAATGCTGAAGTACTCACTCTGTCATCAATAACAACTAAATCCTTGGGTTCTGTGCGATCGATTTTCAAAACACGATATTTGGTTTCTGCCTGGTTACTTCCAACAAGAAAATATCGCTGGGGATGTAAAAAAAAGTGCAAATAAAATATTAAAGCAATAGTTATGGACGTTTTATACTTACTGCAAGTCGTGCAATTATATTGACATGAGCTTTCATTTGCAAGAATGAAGTTCATCCAATTTACAGTAATTCAATCAGTTCGTCTATTAACAATACCTTTCAAATATAATTTATCATCCTGATATTTTTGAAATATATATTTTACATTTTTTTTAAAAACTGTCCTGATACCCTCATTCTATTTTAATTTCTGACTTCAACCTTGTTACATTAATAGCATTATTTCCTTATTTTGACCCACTGAACGATCAGTTAATACCATTTGCGATGCTTTCTAATACTTCTAAAATTTTTGAGGTAAAAGATGACATCCTATCAATTGTACTAGATGTACAATTTGACAAGAATATTGGGAGAAAGTAAATTGTGTTTATACAAAGAGCACTAGAGTCAGGAGTTAAGTGAATTGTGCTCTGTTTTATGATCTTTTGGGCTCAGTTGTTAAGTGAATCATTGCAGTTAAGTAAATCATTGAACGTTAAACGAATCTGGCTTGGTCCATTGACTCTACTTATTGGAAACTAGCTGGGAAGATTACAAATGATGATCACATGACCCCAGGACAGTGCAACTGTCATAAGTACATGCCAGTTGCCAAGCTCCTGAATTTTGATCCTGTGTCTATGGAGATACTACAACAATTGTAAGTGTGAAAGCCTGTCATAAATCACTGTTCAGGGCTGTTGTAACTTCAAATGGCTACTAAACTAATGGTTGTAAGTCAAGGACTATATGTAATGCAATGGTTAACTGTAGTAATTACATTACATTATTCTTACAAACCACCCACCCCAAATTTAAAAGCAAAGTCTTCTGTTTCTTTGCCTTTGGCCCTATTTTACTTTTTGAAATACAGCATTTCCGTTAATTTATTGTTACACTATATTAGTGCTACTAGCTGCTGGATTTTATTTAATGTGCCATGATAGCAGTTGGCGTGCCATTTTGCTGTTATAAAGCATGGATTGTGTGCATTATAAGTGAACTGAAGTTTTCATACTTTTTTTTTTTTTTGCAATTTTCTCAGGGAATTATTTCTCAGCATTGAGTTATTTTATTATATCTACAACTTACTGACCATACAGCACATCATAAGCCATATATATAATTTTTATGCAGGGGTATCCTGTGATATGAAAACTATTTCAAGGTTTAAACTAAGCCATAAACCACACTGAATAACACTGCCAGAGATAAACTCTGAAAGCCACTGAAAGGCTAACAGAATCCTCATAGCGTCTATGGAGATTCTCAGTATTCCAAGTCATGATTGTTCCAAAGGTGCTTTTTTTGCAAGGAATATAAACCAGTTTCCATCATTCAGTCAGAACTTGGATGAGAAACAAACCATCTTCAAGAAAAAACAAAGAAAGTCCAGCTGCCTTTTGAAAAAGCACCTTTGGGACAAATCTTCATAGTTTAAACCAGAGGTTATCAACATTGCAATATTGCCATTCCTAGAATAAACAATTGTTTGACTCTCTTCAGGGAAAGTGCACATTAGCAATGTGTTAACAGTCATCTCCCAAGGCTCATTTTGGTCTTTAATCCCCATTTATTGTGCAGAACCCTTCTCCAGGCAAACCACAAATGAGTTTTGACAGTATCAAATTTTGCCTAGTCCTCCCCACCTCCACACACACACACACACACATTTTGTAATGCTTATTGCAGTCATGACCAACAGTTTGAGAATCCTTGGGCAAAGTATAATTTTTAACTTTAACAATATGATCATCTGTATGAAATAAACAGATGATGCAACAATCCCTTTTCTCACTGTTTCCAATGTGGTCCATTTCCAAATCTATTTATTACATCCTTCAATCTGCACTAATTTAGCAATAATTTATAAAATAAAGCCAAAGCCAAACAACCGACCATTGCTTATGTTAATTTGTTCCTGAAAGCTTTTTGCACAGTACTAATTGAACAGATGTATGACCCAAGATCACCTTAACCTTTTTTAAAAAGGATAACAGAAAAACATTTTAAAGTGGGTTTCAATATTATCAGGGTAAGCAAAAGGGAACTTTAAAAAATATAGGAAAAGTCAACAAATTATAAAAATGTATACAGATGCTTATTTCTTCCGTATTTTCTTCAAATGTATTGGTTACAGAATTACCATTATTTATTGCAAACCATAGGCAACATTCTGATTACAAAAATCACATGAAAAGTACAGCTATATTTTAAAGACTTGCACAATCCTTGCTGGGTTAGACTCTTGCAAAATCTAGGGGGATGTTGTTTCAGAGGGCAAATCAGATTTCAGATATTCAGTATAAATACTACAAACATTTTAACTACCATAGATTAACTTTGCTAAATAATGGAATTAGTGTTTTTAGATATTACTCAGCTAGTATCCAACATATAATCTGCTGTCAGACTTCAACACATATAAATAACTTCCTGATATTGAAAAGGGGGATTAATGTATCCATTACATAACCATTATTCAAAAAAACTTCCAAGCAGGTTTCAGGAACTGCACACTTCCATTATTCAAAATACTGCATAGGATAGACATCTTACTCAAGTTAATTCAACATCACACTTTTTCCTAGGTAACAATAACACAGCCAATACTGGGCATTGAGTCATGAATGCTCAGATACCAGAACTATTCTGCATTCAAGAAAAATGCTCCCTAGGAGGATGAAATAGATAGACTTCACAGTCTGCAGATATGTTCTCAATGGATCCCGAAACATTCACTCTAGAGTTCACTTTTCTTACAACATAAGTTTCAAAGTATAGTACTGATCAGTATCTCCACCTGGAATGTGTTGCATTCTGGCCAGCTGTTCTGGAGAAAAACAGCTGTGGTGCAGACTTCCATCATTTTTCTACACTGAGGGGAAAAATAGATTTAAAGAAAAGTTTGTCTACTTCAGATCCAAGGATTTAATTTAGTCAGGAAACATATTTTGGGGGCTTTCTGTGCATGATTCACTAAAAAATGTTCAGTGAATGGAATGCATCAGCATCTTATTCCCTGCCTTCACTGAGATTGCATTTCAATAAAAAATTAAGACTTAGTATATTGTCTAAATTTGAATTGGCTCCAATTTTGTGATGATAGTATACAGATGCAGACCTTGGTTAAAAATATAGTAAACAAGTTCTAAAAAGAGAGACGCTGCTAGCTCTCTTGTGCTCATTAACCAAGTATGTTGGCTTAACACATCAAAACACATTGCAAAGAGTTATGTTTCTAAGAAAGCTGCACCTAGGTATGACAACAGCCAAGATCCTACCACTAGTATTGACATATCTGCTAGCTCTAAATGTATAGATTCCAGTTAGCTACCAGATCACTTTACTAGGCCTTGAAGTCCAATACAACTTCAAGTCAATGCAACTCATCCCAGTATTCTTTCCTGGTTGCTCTTCTATAGTTCCAAAAGTGGCTCCAAGTTAGCCTCTCATAATAAAGAAAATATAATAGGTGTTCATTGGAAAATGAGAGATTATAACATAACTGCTCCTATTACTCCAGCCATGGGCTGCACTCCTTGCAAGGCAGAAAACAAAATTTCTAGCCTGGCCAGTGTAGAAATCCACCAGTCAGACTAAAATCTGCACCTAGGGGACTTCCTCTTTTCAATGGGAACAACTAGGATCCTTCCACCCTCCTCAGTCCAAAACCTATAGGACCCCGATCAATGGTAAAAATAGTAGGGAAGCAGCAGGCGTTGTGGGGGTTACTTACAGCTCTAGTTTCGTACAGCACCAGTTTTTGTACAGAGCTGATGATCGGAGCCGCCGCAGGCATAGTGACACAGCGGAGGGGATTACACTCAAGGCACCTGCGAAAGCTCCCACCTGCCCCTTCCACCTTTTTGAAGGGTAGGCTTGGCCTTGGCTAAGCTATGGCTCGCGATAAATGCGGGCCGCATGAACCCATTTTCTTCTCCCTTTTACTCGATCGTCGGGGGAACCCTATGAGGAAGGGTCGATCGGGAGCCGAAGAAACAGGGGAGACACGCAACCCCGTCTCCCCATCGAGAGTAGGCGGCTGTTCCGTCAACACCGAGCAAGGTCGCGAGAGAGTGACAGCTAAGGGAAGCGCAAAATCACGTGATTGAATTTGCCGGCGCCATTTTTGGTTTGGGAATGATACCGATTCTTGCCCGGAATAAAGGAAATTTTGAAGAAGGGACTGTAAAGCCAAATAACTTTTTCCTCCTCTGCCCGCGGTACTGGCGAGTGGAATCTAGGAAATCTACCACGGGGATAGTAACTTGCAGGACACCAGCTTTGGGAAGACGGCTCCCTTAACTTTTTTTTTTCCGTTAAAGAACTTCGGTTTTCGTGGATGAAAATCCATGCCATCGTTTGCATAAAGTTGCGTCTCTCTGTTCCTAGGAGCATCCCACGCGGGTGTGAATAACATTCCTGCCCACTGAGGCTAATATTCTGTTGAGGCAGAATTCAAGTCACCGGCATTGAATAGCGATAGAACTTAAGACTTATATGCCGTTTCCTTGTGCTTCACAGCTCTCTCTAAAGCAGTGTTTCTCAACCTTGGCAACTTGAAGATGTCCGGACTTCAACTCCCAGAGTTCCCCAGCCAGCATTCGCTGGCTGGGGAATTCTGGGAGTTGAAGTCCGGACATCTTCAAGTTGCCAAGGTTGAGAAATACTGCTCTAAAGCATTTAGTCAGCATACTGCCCCCAACAATCTGGGTCCTCATTTTACCGNGTTCTCCGAACTACTCAAAATTTCCTCTGCCAGTTCTCCAGAACTGGTCAGACCTGCTGATTCCCACCTCTGGTTTCTATCACTTCCAAATCATGAACATTTCCTTTCCATTATTTGTGTTCGGCAGCTAAAACAACTGCAAATTCAACTAGCAAAAAAATAATAATCAAAAAGTGTCTGTTAGCACATTTTCTAGCTGACAAATGTTATTAAAAGGCATAAGATTTCACAAGATGCAGTTCATGTCATCAGATTCATCGAGTGGCTAGATTTAAAACGAGGTGAACTGGAGGTAGGGAAGACAAGTTTATTATGCAGATGCAGGTTACAAAAAACTTATCAATTAACAAATGTAATTTGTTAAATGCCCATCATGTAAAGACCTTCTGAAATTGTCTGAAATCTTTATTTAATATAAGAAGTACTTCATGTTAATTATGTTAATTTTTTTTTATAGTTGAACTATTTAACCGAGAGTTTGGTGACAGCCAACTGGGAAATGAGGAAGAGGAGGACATTCTCACAGAGGAAAAAAGTTCAATGCTGACCAGTATTTCAACAGTTACTAGCCCAAAAGGTAATCTAAGGATTTGATTTTTCATACATTCTATAGAAGAATAGGCTATACCTGCAGAGCTCTCCCTGCATAGTGAAGTAAGCCCCATCCTTGGTATCCAGTTGTTTAGGTTGTCAGAAAAGTTGTGATACATTTTGTTTTGATATGGCTATAAACCTGGCATTATTTCTCCATTGCTGTAAAGTGATAAAATGGGGAATTGGGGGGAGATATTTTCATTTGTAAAAGAATCTGCCTGCATGTTCAAAATGAACTGATCAAACAAGACAGAATCTTTTTTTTTCTGATACAGAAGCATTATGTGTACATGTAGATTTGTAAGTAGATTTTTTTTACACTCAATATGGTCCCAATCCTGAAGCTGAGATTTTACCGTACTGCAATGAATGATTAATTGATCTAATTAAAAAATAATAGGAGACCATCATTTACTGCTATATGAAGTAACAGTTCAGACTTTTCACAAACATCCTTTCTTACCTTATTTTATGAAAATAAGATGAAAAATGGANCTTGAAGATGTCCGGACTTCAACTCCCAGAGTTCCCCAGCCAGCATTCGCTGGCTGGGGAATTCTGGGAGTTGAAGTCCGGACATCTTCAAGTTGCCAAGGTTGAGAAATACTGCTCTAAAGCATTTAGTCAGCATACTGCCCCCAACAATCTGGGTCCTCATTTTACCGACCTCGGAAGGATGGAAGGCTGAGTCAAACTTGAAGCTATATAGCAAGCACTACTTGACGTTTCAGCTTTCTTAAACCCCGCCCTCCCCTTCCTTTTTCCTTTAGAAAAAGATTTTTAAATATTCACACCAAGAAATCGGATTCATTGAAATCAGCGAGACACCCCACCCCACCTCCGCGTAGATATGCCTATCGTTGCCCTGCGACCCCCACTGAAACCGCTCAGCAAAGGAGGGATTCCGTCGTTTGCGACATTACGAGCCGATCCTGGGGCTACAAGTCAGTTGCGCCCGTTTAACCCACGCAACTCCCGCCGAGGATCGACTCCCTAAGAGGCTGAGAATTTCCCTTATAAGACGGTTTTCATTGAAAAGCTCCCGTTTAAACCCGTTAGCGAAGCAGCTTTAAACATTCCACGGGTTTCCTCTCGCTCTGCGGTGTAACGGCCCTTTTCTGGGCGGGATCGCACAGGGACCGTTGATTGGGTGAAGCGAGCAGTGGTGGGGGGGGATTCCGAGGGAAAGAGAGAGGAGGCGGGGCGTTATCTCCACGGTTACGGGGGGAACACAAATTGCTGCGGAGCTTTCATGCCGCGCTGTTGCCAAAACGAAGTAGCGAAAACCCCGCTTGGCGTCGTCCTGCTGTAAGTCTTCCTTGGGCGACCTTTCTATCCGTTTTCTCCGCCGGCAACACTCGTGGAAAATGATTTCATCAAGTTCATTGTGCCCCCCACCCCCCAGCGCCTTAGCCAAGATTATCGAGAGGGGATGAAGCACCACTCTGTGATCGTTGGCTTTTGTTTTGTTTTTCATTCATTTACCATATTTTTAATTCGCTTTTTTTGGTCCGTTCTCTCAAAAAGGACTTTTACTTGAATAAATTTGGGCTGACCCAGCCCAAATTTATTATTAGTCCTCATACCCCAGGGGACGATAAAACAGCCTCTAGGAAGAAGCTGTTGGCAAATTTGGCTGCACAGGAAAACTTTTACCGAGCTGCTTTTATGCTGCAATTCATATATGAGGCTCACAGATTATAGGTGGGCGTCTTGTTAGTTGAACTGATGCCTGTTGCCTGCATGGACACATCCATAGGTTTTCTTGTCAGCATCACAGAAACTACAGGATCAGAAAAAATGAAATTTTATTGCAGAAGTAGTGTGCCACTGCCTTCTTTCAGGATTTTTATTTTTGCTTTACTATTATTTTGGGATTCTCAATATAGTCTGTAGTCATAGAATTTTCTGATTGCCTCCCATTCAAAATCTAGGTTCAACCCTCTTCCCCTCCCCCCTCATCAGCCAAGATCAGCTACTTGCTGCTATAGCTGCAGAGGTAAAAAGTAGTAAGGGTCTTAACAAATAATTCTATCTTTTAAATATAGATTGAATGATGGCATCTCCAGAAGATGAGCAACCTTACCCTTTTGTAGATATATATGATGAAGATGAAGCTGACAGAGTCTTCCTTTTGTCCAAGCCTACTTGCTTTGTCATCCTTGGAAAACCAGTAAGAAAAAGTTCAACATGATTAAATTGACACTTTCAACAGACTTAATTCAAAATACAGCCACATATATATCTTTATTTAGAAATCCAATGATTTCTAAGGTTTTATTGCTAGAAGAATGTACTTGTAAGTAATAAAGTAATAACATCTGTGGAACATATGAACTCCTGAATAAAATTCATAAAATGGTGCTGTCAGTATGGCAAACTTTTCCTTGCCAGGATATCTTTTCAAGATACATCCTGCTAGAATGTATATCATGGCATGTCTAAATATATGGATTTCAGGGCCTCCCCAATCTGGAAATGTTCTGTCTCTGATTTTCTGACTCTGGATAGGGAAACACTCCCCCAGCCAGAGCTGATGCATGTTGGGGTCCTCTTGAATTCATGATTCTTACTCAAGGAGCTGGTGACAGCTGTAGCCAGGAAGCGTTTTGCACAAATCCATATTGTTAGTTGACTCCATTTATGGATCAAGGAACTCTTCCATATCTACTTACATTTTAATTAGCTTCCACTTGGAGTATTGCAATGCGTTATTCTTGGAGCTCCTTTTGAAAAGCAGTCAGAGGCTGCAACTGATCCAGAATGCAGCAGAACATGTGACTTTGGACATGGTTTCTCCTCACCACATCAGACAAAATGGGTCTGCTCTGGATCTGTTAAGCAGTGTCAATTAATTGGACCCAGAAAGCATACCCTTTCTTTCAGGGTGCCTGCCCTTCCCCTTCCCCTTCCCCTAACATTCAGATGACCCTGAATTTGAAAGTCTCTCAGAAGGTTTTGAAAATCTTTTCCCTCAGACATTGAGGCTACAATGTTATCTGATACCAGTAGGTATGTTTCATGTTGCATTATGGGAGAATTTTTCTCAAAGCCTCATTTGCATTTTACTGTATTGTATTGTATTGTATTTATTCTATTTTATTGCTGTCTGTTGCAGGCAGGCAGATAAACGACTCTTTTGCTATATCACAGGGTATGGTGGCTATAGGGAGTCATTATATAGAGGCTCATAAAATTTATCCTTTTCATTCCACAATGCTGAGTGTCACAATCTTATTTTGCAATATATCTTATGAGTTGGCTTCTGTCTAACTATACTCATGTGCCTGATCATGCACCCTCTCAACTTTGCATTAGAAAACAAATTGCATTGATTTCTGTGGGATTTATTTCGGTCATGCATTTGAGATAATGCTGCATAGAGTTACAATTATCTGATTGATAATTGCAGTGGATCTAATTCAGCAAGCCAAAATTTATATACACCATTAATGTTTCTGAATTTATTTGATTAGACTCTTGAAATTCTCGTTTGTATAGTTAAAAGTTGCTTACCATGATAGGAGAATTTAGGCATCAGTTGCACCTGTATAACTCCATTCTACTTTATACTGGTCTCAATAACACTTCTAAGGGGTATTCCCAGAATAAAGCAGTTCGTGTTCATATACTTACATTAATTTAGCATCTGGAATATTAATTTAATGTTCCAGATGTATTGGAATTCTTTCAGCTACGATCAATATTGCTATACTGGCTGAGGATGATGTAAGTCATGTTTCAACATGTCATGCTGTTGAGTAAACATTAAACTTCCTTAAGTACAGAATTAGGAAAATAACTGAGTGATGCAGAAATAAGTTTTATCTCTGTCCAATTTATTTATCCTATTTATCCTCCCTCCTGACTGGCTCAAGGATGACTTAGCCTTCCATCCTTCCGAGGTCGGCAAAATGAGGACCCTGATTGTTGGGGGTAATATGCTGATTTTGTAAACCGCTTAGAGAGGGCTGCAAAGTATTATTAAGCGGTATATAAGTCTAAGTGCTATTGTTATTGCTATATGACATTTATATTTAAATTTCCTCTTTACCATTTATTTGCTACTGGGAAAGTTCATCAGAAAATTTCAAGTTTTGTATCATCAATGTGCTGATGGGACTCAGATTTATATCACTACCCCAAATCAGACTGATGATGCCATTGAGGTGCCTTAAGAGTCTAGAGGGAGCAAAAAAGGCTTAAACTGAATCGTAGGAAGAAAGAATTGCTGTTTTACCATTGGGTTTGCTGTCTGTTTTGGTATCCTGTCTTGATAGGATAATATTGTACTATCCCTGAAACAGCATGTCCATGATTTNAAAAAATGAAATATTCTTTTTCACTATAAAATTTGGAAAATGAAACGTGTGTGTGTATGAGAGAGCGAGACGAAGAAAGAAACTGGACAAACTAGCAATGTATCTGCCTCATCCGCCCTAAGACACCATGTTCAATGGTTTTTTGCAGGTTCTTGAGATGGAAGGTCTTCTAAAAACGCATTATGAACAAGCAAGACTAGAACTCATTGAGCAGACCCGAACTGAAGCAATCCTGGTAGGCATTGCCAGAGTGAAAGAGAAAATGGAAATTGAGCAGCAAATGAAGGAACAAGGTGAGACGGTTCCATGTCAAAGCTAAGAGACTCAGTAGTTCAGATATATTTGTTTCAATTCAATTATGTAAGAATGTTTCTGCAAGGACTTGCTGAATGAAAGAATGAACACTGCAGTGATTGACTACAAGCAGTGAATTGCTATTTAAAATGAGAAGAATTAGGTCATTTTTTTTTCTCTCCTCCATTGGGATGTGTTTTTTTTTAACATTTAAATATTTTCTTGGTAAGGTAAAATAATGAAGAGATGAGGAAGTACAACCAAAATTATAACATTTTCTAAAATTATCAAAACAAATATAGTACTTAATGTCTTTTGAAGAAAGGGATATATCCATAAAATATTAATGCAAAACTAGCTCAATCCATTATATTAGTATTATTAGTCACAGACACCACATATTACTCTATCAGTATTAATACAGTATGTTATTTCAGTACAAAGTATTTATTGAATATTTTTGAGCAAAATATATTTTTGAGCTGGTTATTTATTCTGGTTTTATATTTAAATCTTATTTATCATTTTTATATACCGACAACCAGGAGTTTCTCTGGAGCTTGGCTGTATAAAAATCTATCCATCCATCCAACCAACCAACCAACCATATGTTTTTTATTGCCAAACAACTTTTAGCTCAGTTTTTCTGCCAACAGTTTTTACTCTGTTAGAACATGTTTGACTCTAATGGCAGATAGATGGAAGGGGGATGGTTTCGCATGTGTGCCCAGCTCCATTTACATGAGCAACAGCATGCATGGGCACCCCNAAAAAAACAATATTACAGATTTTTTTCAATCTTGACTAGAGGATTGTTTGAAACTGCAATGTTGGGGCAAGGGTAGAAGACCATACTAAACCATAAAATGTGACATAGAGCCCAAAAGCTAGGTCGACATATTGTGTTTTCTCCTCTACATTTTCCATTTTTTCTTATTCTTTTATTTTTTTTATTAGGTTTTTATCTTTGTAATCTCAATTTTCAGTGATAGTACTACTGTATTAAAAAAGGTTTTTTTCCCCTCATCTGATACTGCTATATAGAGGACAGGGATCCTTATTTAGGCATCTGCTTTAAAAACAAAAGGAGGACGAAAGCAATCATGGTTTCATCTAATCCATAATATTAGTACTACGGGAACCAACATATAAAATATTTTAAAAAATCAATTATATTCTAAAATGCCTTGAATCTCTTTTATACATTTGGGAAGGAATCTCATTTTTTCTTCATATGTCCATGTGCATTTATCAAAAAAATAGGGAGGCACGGATAGTGGTTCTGTACCGGAAGCTTGTGTTTGGAGCCATACCGTAGAGCTGTTGCTTGCCAAGTCTTTGCAATTGGTTCTAGAGCGGTTTTGCTGGCTACAGGGACTGGTTGTTGAATGGATCCATAAATTCAATATTGTCCTCAGTCAAGAAATATAATATGGACAATGTGGATAAGGTAGAATATGGCTCCTCTGCCAGCCCGACATCTCTTCTTTGTCAAATTCTAAACTGTCTTTACTCACAAGTGCAATTGAACTTCTGCAATTCTGGCCTGTGGATTGCATTAAGTTCAATTGTATTTATGAGTGATGTTATGTTTGTCCTCACATTCCTTGCCAAGTAAGCATTACAGTTACAATAATGTTAGATATTAAGAAAAAGGTATGTCAAAAAAATAGCAGCACAGATTTTTTTCCCCCCAGACATGTCAGTGCAATCATATGAAGCCATGGGATCCAGATCAAATCCAATCTATATATTCAGTCATATTTCTGTTTTAAAATTTCAGGAATTAATGGCTGAGCAGGACTCTCAGTATCTTTTTGAATTGGATGGAAACAAGAATGCAGATGAACTTTTTAAAGTAAGCAAGCAACACACACTTACTTTCAGTGCCAATTATACAACCCTATTCCAGTTTCAACCCTGCCTCCTTTAAGGCAACAGGGTTTCTACAACTTGGCAATGAGTTCTCTGTTTCTATCCTATATGTTCAAGACAGTTCAATATGTTGATAATACTGGTATTATTATGATATTAATGTATCTATTAATAACCTTTTAGAAATTGCAGATAATTACATTTCCCACCTGCTATCTTTTATTGATCAAATTGTTTATTTAAAAAAATTATACTGAAATACTCTTTCAAACTGGCTTTATATTTCAAAACCAAATGCCCAATATTAACTAAAGATACTTTATGCACAAACTGTTATGTGGTTTTGCTCAGTCAGTAATAGCCCGCCTTGAATCCATGGGTCAACGGAATGGAGCTCTTATAACCAAGCTTCAGAGTGGAGACGAAGAATTGTTAGATGGTCTGGAAAATGTAAGTGTAACATTTGTATGTGTTGCCAGTAGAAATAGCATACAGTCATATTAAAAAGAATGTTGCTATAAATGTTGATAATAGATTTTTCTTACTCATAGCAGATTAACGCATATTGCACAAGTCCAAAGAATGCCCTAGATACAGATGACAAGCAGTTTATTGGGATTGCTCATTCCTCTATTGTTATTGTTTATTGTGTGCTATTTGTTTTTATATTATTTTATCCTGCCTTTATTTATTTTTTTAAATCAGGCAGTAAACATGTCTAATACTCTCTCCTCATATTTTCCCCACAAGAGTAATCCTATGAGATGGGTTGGACTGAGAGGGAGGGACTGGCCCAGTCACCCAGCTGATTTTCATTTCTAAGGCAGAAGGACTCATGGTCTCCTGGCTTCTAGGCCAATGCCTTAACCATTACACCAAACTGGCTATATAAGTAAAATATGCCCACATTTCATTTTTAAGAAAAATCCTAAAATTATCACGGTATCTTCTGATAAGAGCTTATGTGTAAACCTTTCATCTCAACACTGAGACGTGGTGGCGCAGTGGTTACAATGCAGTAAGGCAGGCTACTTCTGCTGCCTGCTGGCTGGCTGCAGCTTGGCAGTTCGATTCTGACCGGGTCTAGGATGACTCAGCCTTCCATTCTTCAGAGGTCAGTAAAATGAAGGCCCAGATTGTTGGGGGCAATATGCTGACTCTGTAAATCAAGTAGAGAAGGCTTTTATTTTAACCTTCAGTAGCATGGTTAAAATTAGTGACATAATGTTTGAAAATATGGGATGATAAAATACTCATCACTTTTCAGTACAATATGTTTTTCAAGGGCTTCCATTGTTTTCTTTATTTTGGCCCTCAGGGTGAACTTTTTCGGGTGCTTTCATCCTATAAACTTGTAGGACCTAGACATCGATGGCGTCGCAGCAAATGGGGCCGAGCATGTCCTGTGGCTTTAAAAGATGGTGAGATTATCACGGGAACTGCAGACAATGCTGTTAGGTAAGTAGACCTTCGTTACCCTTAATACAAAATCCATTTTTCTAAGGCTGTAGTTCTGTATTTTTGCTTTCTTTGTAGCTTCTTAGGTAAGATGTACCTGTTTTCTACAGAAGAGGCATTGAAACAATTCATGCTGAATCCACGTTCCTACCTGCTTCCACCTATGCCTCTTCCACCTTGTAAAGTACTGATATTGGGCCCTCCATTATCTGGGAAAACAACCCTGTGTGAGTTGCTTGCCAACCATTATCAAGGAAAGGTGGGTCACTTTACTAATTCACTTTGGTATCAAAATCTCAAAGTGCCTGTTTATAGAATATCTTATTTAAATAGAAGACTCTTAAACACAGTGACTTTAACAACCAAGAGCTTAGTACAGAACCACAAAGAATATACATATCACTGAAACTTGGAATTGTATTCCTAATTATTCTGGGAGACCAATTATTAAAGGCCAGGTAAATTTTCCTTGGATTATTTTGTCTCTTGATTCTGTTGAGCCATATAAATGGCAATTCAAAGTTTCTTGCTTTAAAAGTGGCACCAGACAAAAGCAATAGTGGTGAAAGATTTTAGAAAACCTTTAATTAATTTTTCTATTATGTTTCTATATCAACTCTTCTCTAGGGATCAAGGAAGTTTACATGGGTATCTGCTATCATACTATTTATTTATTACATTTTNTTACTTTTGTATTTTGTATTTTATAATACTGTATAACTTAATTTAAAAATGTTCACAGTTAAAAAAATTAAAACAGCAAGAGAGATGGTGGATGAAATAAACAAATCTGTTTTTCTAATCTTTCTTCCCTGTGAGGAATTATTGAAGACACATTTTTGTTTACTTACGTTCACATATCCTATAAATCCACATTGTGATCTGTTTGATTTGATGCTAACATGATCCGTTTATGTTTCACTTTGTGCAAAGCTGTTTTATTTTGTATACCACTTAACATTTACAAGCGAGCTTAGCATTATGGTTTCTTTTACAATACCGGGCAGATTAGTTGTACATGTGGATCCAACTCAATGAGTCATGCATTGTGCAACTTCTCTAGACATTTCAGTCTATTTAGAAGTAGTGTTAAGTGTCTTGGGTCATTTTCAAGGGAAAACTTAGCTACAGCACAGAAAACTAAATGTTCCTTAAAGAATTCACAGGCGATCAGATGTTACCTAATTAGAGCAACACAAAATATGGCCACTTCATGGTTTCTGCACTTATTATCTGCATTGCATTTATTATCCCTTTGTAGGGAGAGATATACAGGAAACCATCACTGCAGATGGATTTTTATGGAAAAGGGATGCATGAACTTCAATATTAAAAATGTTGTTTTCAGTTGCCAGTCATGTAAATTCTGTTTTGCATTATATAGTACTGCATATATGCTGTACATGCACACAGCACCATCTAAACAATTTCTTTATTTTTTTCTATGTGATATATCCTTTTAGCTTTTGAACTTATAAATGAAAACATAACCGCCGAAACAGAATATGGACTGAAGGTAAAACCTGTACTTATTTATTTACCTGGATCTTGAGGTATAGTTTTGTATTTTATTCCTTACTGAATTTATAATTCTTTCGACGGGCACTATTAGTTAAAGCTCACTTCAGGTCACAACTTTGAATTGTATTGCAATTTGATTGGATTTGAACTAAAGGCAATGTACCAAGCTCAGTGGTAGACCACATGTTTTCCATATACCGGTAGGTTCATTTTTTAGCATCTCTAGCGTAAGACGATGCAGCAGATAATATAAAGTAAAAGAATTTATCCTTAAGGAGGTGCTATAAAAGAAAATAGAAAAAAGGAGAGGGAGGGAGGGGAGGGAGAGAGGGAGAGAGAGAAGCAAAGATTTGTGGGATCATAAAAGAAGCAATATTGAGAGCATCTGGATAATTTTTTTTAGTATAGTCTAAGGCAGCTTTGCATATTAATTATATATCCCCTATTATATATTCTCAATGCAATTCAATATTTTACATTGTTCTCCCTAAGTGTAAGGACCTGCTTTACCAAGGTCAAGATGTGCCAGAAGAGTTGGTGATAAAGATGCTTATGATCAAGCTGGAATCACCAGAGATTAATCACTTTGGTATGGATTGCTGCATCTTCTTTTTTTCCATTATCTATTAAGTAAGATCATCAAAACCCTAGAAATATATACCTCTGACTTATTTATTTGTCTGTTTGTTTCGTGGATTGTATGGGATTTAGAAAGCCAGTTAATATAGTGGCTAAGGCATTAGGCTAGAAACCAGGAGCTACTGAGTTCTGATCCTGCCTTGGACACAAAGTCATCTGGATGACCTTGGGCCAGTTTCTTTCTATCCGCCATAGAAAGGAGGTAATTGCTAGCCACTTCTGAAACATTTTGCCAAGACAACTTCAGGGACTTTATCCAGGCAGACTCCAAAAATTGGATTAATTTTAACAGAAGAAATAAAAAAGGCAATGTCGTGTAGTGGTTAAGGCATCAGGCTAGAATCCAGGAAACCTGAAGATCTAGTCTCGCTTTAGGCATGAAGCCTGCTGGATGACCTTGGGCCAGTCACTTTCTCTCAACTCTAGGAAGGAGGAAATGGCAAACAACTTCTGAAAAACCTTGCCAAGTAAATAGCAGGAACTTGTCTCGGAGAATTGCAAATGATTGAAAAGGGGAGGGGAGAGGGATTTAGAGGCCACCCAATTCCCACACAAGTCTGGGTGGCTCCGTAAGGCAGTGGGGGGTTATATTTTTCTGTTAGCTACAGTATTTGCTAACTTGAGCGTACATAATACACAAAAGAAAACACCCTGGTAAAAATGAGATTAGAGAAGAAAGTGGAAGTTTTTAAAGTTGTAGAAGAAAACTGTAGATTCTCTGGTTTTACAGGAGAACGTTGCTCTTTCAAAATTGGGCACCTCTCCAGACCTCTCCTCTTCCTTTAGGAAGAAAAATAAGAAGTGTAGTAAAGCATATATGGAGACCAGAGGAGAGAGTGTACTTTCATTCCTATTTCAAGGGGCCAGTAGGTGCAGGCTGATTCTACTGTCCCAACTTATCAGATGGACTTCCAATAGCATAGGCATGGAAATACTGTACATCAGATTTGACATACCTTGAAACTGCTGCTGGACTAGAACTTCCAACTTTGTTACTCTATTATTTTGATCTAAGGGGAAAACACTCTTTTCATACATAAAGCTATTTGTTGATTGAAGACAAAATGAAGACATAGCAGTGTAAAATGTTTCCAAGAATTGGTTGTACAGTGATTAGATACAAATGAAGAAAGACCCAGAGTCATTCTATAATTATTGTAGAATAAATAGTAAGCATTGAATCTTTAAGTACTGTATAAAAATATTTGCATTTCCCCCCCTTGCAGGTTATGTTCTCTCTGATTTCCCTTCTCTTTCTGAGGATTTCATGTCTATACCAGAACAAATAGATGTGATTAAAAATTTAAAATTAAAACCAGATTTTCTGATTAATATTAAGGTAAGCACAAGAGACAGCCCTTCTCCCATCTCCAGGTGTCTAGAGAGACAGAACTTCTAGCCCTTGCTGGATTAGCTGCAGTTAAGGGGCCGAGCAGCCGCGAGATGTTCGCACTCGCCACCTCCTGCACTCCAAAAAAATAAGACCTCCTGTAAAAGCCCTAGCTGTTTTTTGGGGGGGTCCAAAGAAAATGAGATGCCATCTTATTTTGGGGAAACACGGTAGTAAATCTTCTATTTATTTTATATATGGGTTTCATACCTTTACAAATTATGCTTCATAAAGTTATCCTTGTCTCCTTTAAACCTGTTGTCATAAAAATAGTTGCCAACTGTCTTTTAATAGTTTTAAAAGAAACTACCAGGACATGAGCAATAAAAGCTCTCTTCTAAGATCTTAGAAAGAAGAGTTACGAAGTTATCTTACTGGATTTGGAACAATTTCCATCTCATAATGATCTGTTTCTCCCACTAGTGTCCTAACAATGACTTGTGCCAAAGAATCACTGGTCAAAGACAGCAGCCTGACACAGGACATGTATTTAAAAGAGATGAATGGGATCCTGATATTATTGAAAAGCGTAAGAAAAAGAAGAAAGAACCACGTAAAGGTGATGAAGAGGAGGAAGCAGAAGAGGAAGAAGACGAAGAGGAGTCAAATGAGGTAGCTTTCCCATATTTTCTAAAAAGCCAATTATTTGTTTCAAATAAAAGATCATTCATAAAGATCATTCACAAAGACATTGTTTAATATTTGTTAAACAATGTAACATTCTTCTTTAATAAAGTTTGTCAAATTAAGTTGTACAACACTTATACATAATATCCTAATTCTACATGCTGCATTTTTGAAAACAAATCCATTGCCATTTGTACATGTTAAAGCTATGTCTTTAATTAACAGCATTACTAACCCTTTATATTTATCAATTTAGATTTGAACTTTGTAGTCTTACTTTGAAGACCCAGACCTAATGCATTTGGCTGGGCTGCTGAAGCAAAGAACTGTTTGGGGTCTTCTCCCATTCCAAGTATAAAATTGTCTGCACTAGCAGTTTTCAATTTTAGCATTGGGAACAGGATTCTTCAGAAGTAGCAGCCTTGTTTAGGTGATGCTCTCCCTCCTTTCCATCTTGCTCTCCCTCCGTCCCTCCCTCCCATCCATCCATCCATCCATCCATTCTATCTATTTATCTATTCTATCTATCTCAGAATTCCTCAACAGGACTCCAGCAGGAAAAAATATATATTTTTTAAAAAGCTTCNTTAATTACAGTTTTATTTTGGTTTATTTAATTTTATTTCACATTTTCATTAGTTTTTGGAACTTAATACTTACTGTTTATTGTATGTTGTTTCTTGTGTATGTTATGTAATAAGCTGCTCCGAATCCTCAGAATGTAGCACTTTATGAATATGATTAATTGATTAATTTAAAAAATCAGCAATAGGACCAACTCCTAATGTAGCTCTATCAATTTTGCTTTGTAAAATAGAATCGTTTGCTAATACATTAAGTATATCATATATTTAGTAGAAGCAAGCAAATGCGTGATCATAGCCCTAATTTTCTTTGTTTCTTTTTATCTCTAACATGAAACCTTACAAGCAGATACATAGCACAGAACGTAGAATCACATTGATTTAACTTCCAGAGCTAATGACTTAGAAGTGTCATATATATCTTTGTTTTGAAAGGTAGCAAGGCAAGGAGACCATTTTTCAAATTTAAAAAAGGGAAAATAGAATATATTTCATACACAATTAGAGCCATATATAAAATTTCTGACATTTAATAATGTGGATGGAAATTCTAGTCACTCCTTATTATAATAAATGTTTCAATTTTCATTGTTTCATTTTAATTTATTACATTTGAAGCACTTCAATTCCTTCTAGTTTTAATAATCATTTTCTTCTTGTTTTCTCATTTTAAGGGTGTTGGGAAGAAAACATTAGCTAAAAAAATAGCCCAGTTTTGGAAGTGCACACTTGTAGATGGTAAATATAAAAACTATATTCATTTTAGTGTATTTCATTCTATGCATGTTTGTATAATTTCTAACATTCCAGAGACCTATTTAATTTTTTTAAAAAGTCTGCAACATTTTCATGAACTAACATAAATTCAGAAGAGTTTGACAATGTATAGTTTTATTCTGTTGGAGTGATTTTGAATTTTTAACAGATACCACTGGGAATATTACCATATTTCTATTAAAATAAGGTGGAAAAAAATGGGGAAATGGAATCTAATACTTGGAAACTTGATTTCTAATAGTGAAATAAGATATTCTCCTCCCACCCCTCTTCGAAAAAATTCTTTTAAAGATACTGATATTAAAGCTAACTTTTTTCTGCTTATTTTAGATAGTATCAGTGACAACATAGATAATATCCCTATTACACATAAAGTGTGTAATTGTGTAATATAGAGGCTTACTTAAAACAACAAGAAAAACTACCCCACTCTATAAACTTAATATTTGTACAATCAGTCTCTAAATTAAAAAATATAGTATTCTATCTATGATTTTTGTGTGATTTAACCTGTATCCTACTTTCCATATTCCAATGTTGTCTCCCATTTCATTATGGTCATACAAATATAACAGATACAAATATAAGACCACCAGTTGCAATATGCATTTTTGAAATGAACCCTAATAAAGTCAATAATAGTGACTTTGGAGAGAAAAGGAAAGGAAAAAATATTGTAATGACATGCAATTTTTTATTAAGGGGTTAATAAATTGTTTCTGCTAATCTCTGGACTAGTCATAAATCTTCATTGTACGAAAATGAAAAATGAAATAGTTGGATCAGAGGTTTTTTTAAAAGTCCATATGGGACCAGTAGAAAGAGGACATAAAAAGTCCTCTGTATATTTATGCAACATAAGGATTCCCTTAGTCTAATGGAAGTTCCACCTTTAAATCTTATAAAAGATTTAAAGATTTAAATTAAGGCAGCTAGGAGAAGAGTTTCTCCTAGCTGCCTTAATTTCTTTAATAACCTTAAGATTTTCTTCAAGATCTTTTACCAACAATTTATGACTAAAACATGCACGAGTCCAGCCTTTCCCCTTCCACTTAAACTTCCCTTGCCATGATTAATTCACCTAGGGAGTATGGAATAACTGAAGTGATTAGAGGGAAATATATATTCTCTCTCAGGTACAGCTATTAGAAATTTATTTTTGGTTTTTAAATTAAGTTCTCCTCAGGGATTTTCTGGCCCACAGAGAGACTACCTTATCTTTGGAAGCAGTAGTTTTTACATTAAATTTGCAAGAGTGAATAAAGAATGTAACACAGCAAGCTAGTGATTGGATTCTGGCTTGATCCTTTAGGATTAATTTGGCATCAGCAGGTTTCTGAGTAAAAAACGAAAACTATGAGGCAGCATGTACCTGATGTTTCCAGTTTGTTCTCAGAAGCATCATTTCTTTGAAGTGCTATCATTAGAACATAATTACAGTGATTTCTAAAGAATCCTGTGGCAAGACTAAAATTTCTCAATTTTTAAAATTGCAATATAATTTTATTTAAGTTCTGAAAGGGAAATTGTTTATATGAGCCTGTTCTTGTTACCTGCTACTTTAAAGTTAGAGCAGGCAACAATTAGAACAACATGGGAGCCCTCTGGTGGCTAAAAGTGTCTTTTATTTTGTGGTCAAAGTAAATGGTGGTCAACTACTAGATTATAAAGTACACAGAGCTATAATTAGACTTTTCTATTTAAATAGGAGTCTTAATGACAATGATAGTTATCAGTCCATGGAGGGTACTTTGGAGATCTAGAATTGGCTTTAGAGGAAAAAAATATCAATTCCTTCAATAGTTGAAGAGAAAAAAGAAATTAAAATATTTAATGTTGTTTTAGAATATTTCGGTAACATTTGGATTCTGATCAAATTATAATAGGAAGATATAATACAACTATTGTACAGGTAATTCTTGAGTTACAACAGGTCGTTTAGTGATCATTTAAAGTTACAATGGCACTGAAAAAAGTGACTTATGGCCGTTTTTAACACTTAAGACCATTGCAGCAGCCTCATGGTGACATGATAAAAATTCAGATTTTTGGCAACTAACTCATATTTACAGCTGCGTGAAAAAGTCCTGCACACTTTCAGTTGTAAGCTATATTTACATATTTAATCAATTTTTCACTCATAGAAACTATGCAAAATTAGTACTTTGATGAAAATTTCTGTAATCGGATTGGGATGCATAATGTTTATTAATATAACCAATGTCTTTTTACGGTTTTGAGTNAAAAATTTTCCTCTTCAAAACCTTGCTGCGTCTTATACTCAGAAAAATACGGTACATTTCTATGTTTTTTTAAATATGAAATCTATATGTTCTAATACATTCTTTCAATCCATAACAAAACCAGTATGGTATTTAAAAAAAAACTTTCCAAAAGAACATCTAGAACATTATCAAACATTGAATGAGTAGAATTTTGCTTAAGCAATGCCATTTCCCCTTTTCTTTTTCCCTCTGCTCCCATCAAATTTATTCAGAAGTTCATGCAATCCTTCAGTTTAGATTTGGAAAAAGGGCCCTTTTATTCTACTAATGGAAGCTTCCATTCCTCATAGTAATATTAACAGGGTTTTTTAGAGTTCATTTCATTTTGAGATATTTACGCCTGGGTTTTTTTCTATGTAATAAGCAGATATCTCAACAGTACAAACAGAATCGGAGATCCCTCTTGACCATCCAGATATCCAAGAAGCAGTCCAGAGCGCTATAGAAGCTGCAATACTATCTCCAATTATTCTGCCACCAGAAACATATGCAGACGTATTAGAAGAAGCCATTGAAGAGGTAAAAGCACCAGGATCAAATGAAAGGCACAATAGAAAGATCTTTCTATTAACCAACATGGTATTTAATGTATTTAAAATTATGAAAATCATTACCAATTTGGTAACATTATAAGGAAGATCACAGATTAGTTTAAATCTAAATTCTAGTGTTTGCATGGAGAGAATAATTTCACTAAGGCATAGAAACAATCAATCTGCCATTAAAAAATTAGACCTGTTAAGATGCCCCAAACTACTACTTTCTCATAGCTTGAGAATATCCTTTAAAAATTTGTTGTTTATTTGTTTCCCATTGCTCATTTTTAGAATGCTCCTGTCTCGTTTTATATATGATATATTTTATGTCCCACAGACATTTTGAATTTTGTAATGTCCTTTTCTTACAAGGGATTTTTTGGGGGCTGATATAGAAGAATGTTGTTAATTAAAATTTTTGGACTTTTCTAGGACTTCTAAAGAGAACCAGTTTGGTATAGTGGATAAAGCATTAGATTTGAAAACAGGAGACTGTGTTGTATAATCATGCCCTAGGCATAAAGACAGCTGGGTAATTTTGGTCCAGTCACTTTCTCTTGGTTCCAGGAAGGAGGCAAACCATTTTTGAAAAATCCTGCCAAGAAAACTATGGGACATGTCCAGGCAGTCTCCAAGAATCAGACAAGATTAAACAATTTCTAAACAAAATCTCTAATTTAAAAAATGTTGAAATGTCCTGTAATCACTATACTAGGGACCTGCAATTTTCATTGTAAATCTGATGCATTTCACTGCCTACTTTCTGTTTTTAAATCTCTATGAAATCCGCTTTTCATTTGCAACACTTCTCGAAATGAATGCAATTCTCATTCCAGTGTTTCCAGTTATACTGGTCTCTAAATGTCACTTCCTTAACATGCAATTGACCACAAAGAAAAAAAGTCTATGTGGATGTGTAGGTCTATAGGCATTCCTTTTGCAACTTATAAAAGTATTGTTGGCCAGAAAGATGAAATGGTTTGAGTGTCCCAAACATAAGACATATGATTCATACAGTGTTCCAAGAAGAATTCAACATAATGCTGTATTATTTACCAATGTTTTTCTTCATCTTCTTTATTCGCAAAAATATAATCTTCACATGAAATATTATATTTTAATTAATTAAAGGGTTTGTGCTTGTAAACCATATTTATTTTATTGCTTTGGAGTGATTCTGGTAGGCAGTGAGGATGAGAGTTGTGTGCAAGTAAGCCTGAATAAACATGACAAATAGTATTCTTGAACAAACTAATACAGGCTTTCACTGTTAATTGCCCGCTCTGGATTTCTGCTTCTTCTACTCCCGGCACAAGAAGCAAAAATGGATTTCTACTGGTTCGGCCCAGATTGTGTGAACTGGTGGTAGCGGTGGTGGGAGCCTCCACCCACCCGCCTGGACACTTCTGTGCAGAAGCGTCACCCGAACTGGTAGTAAAAAAATGGATAACTCACCACTGGCAAGAAGGGTACTTGATATTAGCTTAATTAAAAAGAATCATCCAAAGAAAAATGAAAAAGCCATTTATTTAAATGTTCCAATTTTAATAATCAGAAAGCAAAAAGAGAAAGTGTGATGAGGGAGGGGGGATTAAGTATTGCAAAGCTTGTAAACTCTAAACATCTTCTTGGAACAGTCCCAAGAAAAACGTAAGGCTACAACTATTTGATAATTATTTAACAGAATAATAGAATAATAGAGTTAGAAGGAACGTTGGAAGTCCTTTACTCCTACCCCCTGCTCAGGCAAGGAACCCTATTTACAACTTCTATTCCAACACTGGAATTTTTGAAGAAGAGATTGGATAAATGAAATGATATAGGTTTTCCTGCCTGAGTAGGGGGTTGGACTAGAAGACCTCCAGGGTCCCTTCCAACTCTGTTATTCTGTTATCTGAATTATATGTAAGGACTGAACAAAAAAATGAGTCTTTAGAATAACAGAGTTATTCTAGAGTTCAAGGAAAAGGTTTGATCTAGCAAATGCAAATTGTCATAGCTTTGTAACTGTCTCTCTCTGATATGTAACATACTTTTTAATGAATTAACTTGTTGCAATAGTTGATGAAAATTCTATTGTTGAGGAAAAATTAATGCAAGTCAGTCAACTGAACTCAAAAATGTATCTTTATCCTAAAGAATGCACTTATCAGTCTGCATGTTTAACCATTTAATATGCTCATTGCACTCTTTTATTTCAGTTACAGAAGATAAATTCAAGCAGATATCCTGGAGCTGCACGTAAAGGAGGATGGGTACTGGATAATTTCCCTCCACTAATGGACCATTGGATTGCTTTGTTAGAAAAAGGACTCCTACCTGATATTGTGATATGTTTGAAGAATGTTGAACGAAATGGTTAGTGAATATTTAGACATGAATATATAAAATGAATGTCACTTAAGTATTAATCATCGCTGAAGTGGTTAAGTTTTCAACATGTTCTTTTGCCCAGTTGTGGAATTCGATCTCTAAAAATGTGGAGGCTGTTGTTGGATTCCAATTCCCATCAGCCTCATCCAGTATCGCCAATCAGAAGTTAGGGAACCTGAAGCCTGAACATAGCTAGAGATTCAATCTCTGCTTTTGAGATTTTTCAGTTTCAACTTGCAAATAACATAGAAAAGAACTATATCCTACTTTACCACCAGTTTAATTCCTTGTTTAATGCATACTTTCATTAAAGTGAAGCATAAATAGTGATATACTATTTATTTCCTTCAGCTGCTCAATTAATTTTATTCAGCTATTGAAAGATCTTTGATTTCTTAAAACATTTAAAGCAATTGCCTAAAGAATGTTTCTAATACACTTAATTATTATTATATATCTTTTTTTTAAAGTTGTAGAGTTTCTGAGATGTGGTACTTGGATGTGAGCCCTTTTCTGTTGTATTGTTTTCTGTTGTATTACAGGACAGCTGGTAGTGCATAGACTGTATGAAGCAAATAAAGAAGAAATTGATGCTCAGATTATGCAAAGTCTAATAGACGATGCTTTGAAAAAGAAACAAGAGGAAGNAGGAGCATATAGTTATGGGCACTATTATTCCTTATGAATCACTGATTTCAACAATCCTGTATTTGTACACTTACACATCAATCTGATATGTTAGAACTCTAGTTTTTAGCATGCTCCACCAACTTTTCATGATGGTTAGGAATTTGTGAATTAGAATCCTAATACCTTTCTGGAATACCAGATCAATCTTTGGTTTGAAGAATTTCGTTGTCATATAGAATTCCATGCAAATTTCTGTTTTATCTCTGGTCCTGCATGTACAGTATTTTTTTTTAATGGCCTGAAAACTTACTATTTCTGACAGAAACTTTTAAATATCATGGCTGGGAATTATTACCTGAAGATGAAGATGAAGAACAAGAAGATTTGCAGGCTGAAGCAGAGGCACAGGCAGAAGAAGAAGAAGAGGGTGATGAAGAGGAAGAAGAAGAAGAGGAAGAAGTAAGCTCTAGCTATCAACTCAATAGGTTATAGATTAGTAATTAGATTATTTTAAACTGTAATTTACTGAATGACATGTTGTACAAGATAAAAAGTTATACAAGTTCATCTTTATAAAAAGAGTATAACTTCAAGAATGCAATGTTTGCTTATGAACGAAAGGCCAGCTAGCTTTTTGCATATATGCAAACATGATGGCCGAAGAAGTCTATCCACAATGCCTCATTTGTGGAGTCCTGTGGGGTTCAGTACTCTCTCTGCTCTTGTTTAACATCTATATGAAGCCTTAGGGGGAAGTCATCTATTGCCATGGGACAAGGCTGCTGATATGTTGTTTTGGTATTTGGCAGCTTTGGGAGTTTGGATGGGAAACAATAGACTTCAGCCCAATTTAGCAAGACTAGGTAGGCTTGGGTGGGGTGGAACTGCCACAAACAAACCTCGTGCATGACTTGGGAGTCTTTCTGGATACATGGTTCCTTCTTTCTCCCACCTCCTTATCTCCTATCTACACTATCAAATTGGTTATGTCCTAAGCAATGGAAGTTTTCTTCAAATTATTTGTTCATTAGATTTAAATCTAACCTTAGATCCAGGCATCTTGAATGTGAATTTCCCTTTATTTTATCCCCTAACAACCACCCTATAAGAGAGATGGGGTTAAGAGACAGAGTGATTGACCAAAGTCACCCAATAGGTTTCCACACCTGCAGGTGGAATTGAATCTGGAGTCCTCATTCCTTGTTCAACACCTTAACCAAGTATAGAATGGATCTACAGTTCTGAATTATCTAGTTCTGGGCCAATATGTTAGAGTAAATTCAGATTTTTTAAAGTGTTAATATAAATAATCTTATCAGAAATATTTTGCTGTTTTAAGGATGAAGAAAAAATTATTGAGAGGAAGAGACACATGGGAGATACAAAGAATTTCTGTCCAGTGATTCTGAAGGAAAACTTTATCCTTTATCCAGGAAATTCTGAAAATGCAGCTAAATATCGAGAAAAACACTATTATTTTTCAACTCCAGAAAACAGAGATAAATTTCTAGAAAATCCTGAGGAGTATGTTTCTCACAATGAGCCATTAAAAGTATGTAGATCTTACATACCGGAGCTACATGAATGAACACTGATTGAGTTTCCAATATTTTCAAATATGTACCTGCATGTGCGCATCTGTATTTATTTGTGTTTAACATGTAATATTTTGATACATTGACAGAATGACAATGGTGATGATAATAGGTAATGATATTCAGGTCTCCCCATGAAACAATGGATTCATCGACTGTGTATCTACAGTCATATAGCAAAAATTGGTTCAGCACGTTTTTCTGGATTGATTTGTTTTGTGCAAAAACAACTTCCATTCAGAGCACCTGGGAAATACTGCAATATCATTCACAAATTGGTGCTCAATTAAATGAACAGCTCTCTAGTGCAAAGCAAAATCTTGAAGATATCAGACCTACCGGTACTATCTTCTAGAAACTATTGGAGAATAGTCTTTCTGGCAAAACATTTTAAGACCTAGGCTCCTTACCTCTTAAGTAGTCCAACTAATAAGTTGTACTTGGGTCTGAATATTACTGTATATGTTGAATTAGAGGTTATTTCTGAGCAAGAGAAGGTTCAGAACTCAATACTGAAGTGAAGCTGTTACAAGATGCTGTTGGCTCTGATGGCTAAGGAAGGAAAAAAATGTTCGTCCATATATTAATAACAGAGTTGGAAGGGACCTTGGAGGTCTTCAACCTGCTCAGGCAAGAAACCCTATACCATTTCAGACAAATGGTTAACCATTCTCTTCTTAAAAACTGTCAGTATTGAAGCACCTGTAACTTCTAGAGGCAAGTTGCAAATCAAGCTTAGTTAAACAGAGGTTTCATATAGTTTACCTGCCAGAGGATCAACATAGTCTTCTTTATTTGAAAATGGCTCTGGGATATACAATACAATACAATACCAATACCAATACTAATACAAATAATACAAATACAAATATAATACAATACCAGAATTGGAAAGGACCTTGGAGGTCTTCTAGTCCAACCTCCTGCCTAGGCAGGAAACCCTATACCATTTCAGACAAATGGCTATCCAACATCTTCTTAAAGACTTCNTTGGCAGAAGCTGGGACAAGTAACGGCAGCTCACTCCATTACGCAGCACTAGGGATTCGAACAGCTGAACTGCCAACCTTTCTTATCGACAAGCTCAGCATCTTAGCCACTGAGCCACCATGTCCCACAGTATATGAATAGGGCTTGCCAAAACATAAAAAATGGAACTGGAAGACATCTGATGTACATCATAAGGGTATTAGGAGAAATTAAACGAATGAATGGCTTGGGCAAGAGCCTCATAGCAGTATCAGGAAATAAATTCCATAGATGTGAGGCCACCAATTTCTAACGGCTAACCCAAGCATTTATTCCAAGTTCTGAAAATGGATGACTTCTCATTGATATTCAAGTACTCCTTATAACTCTGAACTGTGGAACTCTGATTTTATTTGTAATTTTAGGATTCTTGTCTGATTGTATTATATGTTTTTCTAAAGCTTAAATTGGGATCCAATTTTGGGTTGTCTCATGACTTTCTAAACTGTTTATATTGTTTATAGTACAGTAAAGTCTCACCTTAGCATTCCAAAATTGCTTTATACATGTTTCCATAAAATATATTTTTCTTGCATTTCTAGAATCTGCAGAGTTTATGGAAGGTAGCTTTGGGATTGAAAGAGGCCAACCAGAACAAGATGATTCTTCTGAATCTAAACGGAAAGAATCATCCGGAGGTTAGGATATCATAGATATTTATCTTTGTTTTCTGACAAACATCAAGTTGTTTTATTACATTATTGTGTCTGTAACTCTTACAGAAAATCTGAGGGCAGCAAAGTGTCTTCTTTTTCAAATTTCTTTGACAAAGTTCTTGCTACAAATAGTATTCTTCTGTCTGTTAAGACGTTCTTAAAGTATAATTCTCATGTGGAAACATCCATTTATGTACTTACGGAACTAAGATGTCATTTGAATCATACTAGCACACTAACATCTAAAACACTAATATGTGAGTTATTCCTGCTGAGAGTCACATCTGGCCTGTAGAATTACATATCCAAAGGACATGAATTAAGTATGTATTGGGCAGAATGATCACAAAGAAATTAAAATTTCACAGAAAGTACATATTACTAATATTATAATATTACTCTCCATAGTTACTCTCCAATGATGTATTAATAATTTCCCTCTTTATTCACATTTAAAATTGTAATTTTGTGATACAATATGGAACCTGTGGGGATAATGCCAAGGCTTTTGAAGAGCTAAAACCTGCTCTGGGGCCATGTTGTAAAGTCTGACAGTAGCCAACCTAAAGAATAAAAAATTTTATAAAGTTTTTTTTCCATTACATAATGGAAAAATTGACTGTGCAAATCAGCTTATCTCCTTCGGTACCAGCTATTAAACTTCAAATCCAATTTGCATCAGAGCAATTATACATCACAAATAATAACATAATTAGCCCATCTCCCTTATTTGTACACTGCATTAACTTTTATTCAATAGCTTTATTTTAATAATCTTCAATTCTCTATAACTTTATGGTTTCTTAGCATACTTTTCAGCTTTACCATGATTATATGGATCAGGGGAAATCCATTTAATAAGAAACCTCAGTGTTTTTATATACCTGTTTACAGAAACAATGAAGTTTGTAGTGAAGAGTGATGACTCCAAAGAACCTGAAGGATCTGAAGAATCTAAGACAGGTTAGATTTATATGTATGTATATATCAGTAATAGTTCATTATAGGAGGCAACTATTTTATTCCTTTAATCCTGTGCCACTATTAGTGTTTTGTTTTCACTGTATTTTTAATGTAAAAATACAATGAGCATTTGTGATTTGATGGCCTTCTAAATCTATCATCATCATCACCAATGGTGATACATCACCAATGGTGATACATCACCAATGGTGATACATCACCAATGTATCTATTAAATATCACCATTTATATTTAATTTTTTATGACCATCAAATTAATATATTTGTTAGTTAGTTTAAAACTTCTTTTTACTGGCATAATTTGATAAACTTTCAGAATCAAAGCCTACAAAGTGAAAATACTGAGAACATCAAAACTGCTAATTTCTTAAATATTTTGAAAGCTCTTAATGTTCCAAATACACTATGCAAAATTAAGTAATAATGTTTCTCTCCTGGTCTCCACAGAATCAACAGAACCCCTTGAAAGTGAAAAAAAATCTGTATCACAATATGAACACCTGAAAAGTATGGCATCTGAACTAGGTTAGTGGTTGACTGGGTCAAGGGGTACCACAGAGTGGTCTGCATTGAATAACCCATTACAAATGGTTTTGTATAATCATTCAAATTCTTTTTTCTTAAAAACGCAGAGTTGAAACAAACTTTGGTTGTGTGTCCTGTCCCAGTTTAATGTTGCAGTTATGTCCTCCTTAGAATACTTCATTCTTCCTCCATCCAATTTTTCACTTTTTCTTCATTGAGCTGCTAGAGGAATTTCACTTGTTTCTCCCTCCCCCTTTCAGATTTCTGAACTTCTGCAGAAGTCCTCTCAGGTCTATTTAGTTTTTCAGTCCTCCTCCTTGTGAAGTCTTCCATTGTGGCTCCATAAGAACTGGACAGAGTATCAAGAAGAAAGTCCTGCCAGCACACATAAGAGAGCATCTTATTGTTAATGCATAATTGTTTCCTAAAATGCAACTTGATTTGTTTAGGAGTCACGATGCCTGAGTATCCTGAAGATGGTTTTCCAGATGCAGTAGAAATAGAACCACTTAGAAACAAGCTCACCCAGTTCCAGAATAACTGGCAAAAATTAGAACAACATATTACAGAATCCCTTTTGGTCCAGAGTACTGAATTGGAGATTGATGGGCAGACTCCAGAAATGCTGCTTAATAAGACTGTGCAAGCTATGCAACGTACGTAATTCACATCCATTGTTCTTCAAAATTATTTTTTCCTCAGGAGATTTGGGTGGTTTTTGGCTTCATTTTATTAACAATTTCTTCAAATTATAAATAAAGTTGGTTAAAACAAGCTTGTACAAATTATGAGCTACTTCTGAAGAAGCAAATAATGTCTTATAATTGTGGTGAACATCATAGTACCGTGTTTTCCCAAAAGAATGACCTGTCCTAAAACTAATGTCTTGCCAAAAATATAAGCCCACCCCCCAAAAATAAGCCCCCAGACAACCCCCCACTCCGGTGAGGCACAGAACTGCTTACCAACCTAGCGGTATCCTGAAGGCACCAAGCCATGGGAGCCGGGGGAAAAGGCGCTCAAGTTGCTTGCTGCCTTTGGGATACCGCTAGGTTGGTAAGCAGTTCTGTGCCTCGCCGGAGTGGGGGGTTGTCTGGGGGCTTATTTTTGGG